TGTATTTATACATACAAGGTACCCCATTCTTTCTCCTCCATAACCCACCTTCTCAAAATCATTCTTCATATTTTCCAATTTGTTTTTTGCTTGATTTATAGATTATCGTAAAAATTAGGAATCATGGGAAGGAAGAACAGAGGAATGAGCAAAAGAAGGTCATCCAGAATCGATAGTTATCCTTGCATCTCTTCCTCCATTGCAGACCCATCTTGCTTTTCATGCACTACCTTTAATATCCTCGCTCCTATTTACAAACGACTTATACATGAGGTAAAACCCAAATCCCTGATTTGGTGGTTTTGGGGTTTAATTCTGATTTTGAGAATATGGTTAACTTTTCGGGGAAGAACAGGATCGGAATTGCAGAGAAAGTGAAATCAAAGCGTATTGGTTGGATAGGAATGAAAGAATCTTAGATTTGCTTTTGCGTGAACGATCATCGATCATCTGTCTCCAGGTTTTTTTTTTTTTTTATCATTCCCAAATATTCAAATTTCTTCGTGAACACCGAATAATCGCATTATCAACTATATCGTTGATTCCTAGGAATTCTGGGTTAATAACGAAGAACTCGTAAACATGTACGACACAAGGCTTGGGGATGCAGGTTACACCATTTTCAAGCTTCCACGCACCAATAATCGTGGCGATGGTATATGCTAATAGCTATTTGCTATTCCCCCAAAATACAATTTCATCACATAAACAGTTTTCAAAATTCTACATCAAATTCTTATTTTTCTTTCTGTTTCTTCAAATTAAACAGGCTTACTCACTGCTGTTCATAATGATTACTTTCATGTTATCAACCATAAAGAGTTCCTGTTCAATGATTTTGGTGATCGTGTTGCTCAACTTTTGCATGTTGAAGTAAAAAATGTTGGTCGTGAAATTCTTATAGTCAACACTCACTTGTTATTTCCACATGATTCAAGCATGTGTTTAGAAAGATTGCGACAGGTTACAATTTATAAACTATCTCAATATACTTATTACATCATATATATGTTCATGTTATCTTCATTTCTTGAAATTGAACCTTTTTATTATGTTTTGATAGGTGTACAAAATCTTGCAATATGTAGATGCTTATTTGAAAGAGAACAATCTTAACCCTTTACCCATCATTCTTTGCGGGTAATTATGATTATTACTTTATGTTTTTAGCTATATCATGTTAATATTTAGTTATAAACTATTAACTATTAAGCTACACCATTTATTTATTTATTTATTTAAATCCATTTTAGTGATTGGAATGGAAGCAAACGAGGCCATGTTTACAAGTTTTTAAGATCACAAGGATTTGTATCATCATATGATATTGCTCATCATTATACCGATGCCGATGCACATAAGGTCAATTTCGTAAATCTTCATAACGTTTTTTTGATTATTTACAAGTTACAACACATGCCATGAGTTTTCTACTCAATTTTGAATTTTGTTTGTTTTAATGCAGTGGGTTAGCCATAGAAATCATCGTGGAAACATATGTGGTGTGGATTTCATATGGCTTCTTAATCCAAATAAATATCGAGAAATACTCAAAACAAGTTGGAGTGATGCCGTTTTTCGGTTTGTTCAAGGTACCCAACAACCCACAAAATAAAAAATAAACTAAACACAAGAATATACATGGAAAACTCCATTTTTTTTTTTTTTTCTAATAATATATATTTTTATCAGTATCAAGTGAGTCGAGCCTCACTTACACGTGAAGATGCATTTGAATTTTTGAAGGCAGTGAGCAACGGTGATTCTATTACCTACTCTGGATTTTGCGAAGCATTGCGACAGGTAACATACAAAAATGGTTACGTTATATAAATACAGTCCGGAATCGGAATTGGAATTGGAATTGGAATCGTGAATTCCATTGTTTGTTTCCATTGCAGCTTAATCTTATTGGTCATATGTACGGGCTAAGCGAGGAGGAAACGAAAGATTTATGGGTTCAAGCAGACATAGATGGAAATGGTGTTCTTGATCATAAAGAATTTCAAGAAAGAATATGGAATCCTATGTGGAGTTACCATGTTGAAAACACGATTAAGGATCAAGATGAGATTTTGAATGGAACCCAATTAAGTTTGGGATTGGGTGTGACAGATGCAGCATTATTCCCATCGGAAACAGAAAACGGATTATGGCCAGAAGATTATTCGCTATCGGATCATGCGAGACTCACTGTTGTATTTTCACCGATTAGGCTGATTTCTTGATTTGTGGAGAAACAAACAATGGATCGAAACGACGCCGCATGAGGATTTGAAGCACATGTCTTTGAGAGTGGGAAAACTAGAGAAGCTTGTTGAAAATGGAATCTCGAATATACTTTCTCACTGCTTTTGAGTGTTGTGTCAGCGTATGCGAATGCGTATGCGTATTGTATTAGTATCTGTATATGTATTTGTAGTTGTACTTGTACAGAAATTTATATCAACACTAAAGGATCAATTTTGAAGATACAATTGTTAAATTTATGTGCTTTTTTTTTCAAAGATTCGTAAAGGGTATCCATGATTTTTTTTGTATTTTGACTATTTGAATTTCGTGTCAACCGGGGACTGTTTTGGAGTTGTCGGCGTGTCGACGTTTGATTGGTTGTATGACTCTCTTCCTTTCTTATCTTTCACCTTAAGCCTTTACATATAAATGGATGGCATTAATGAAATTAAGACTCCATTTTTGTCCAATTGATATACGCTGTATGTACACAGAATTAAAACGAAGGTACTTTTCTAGGAACCTCACTGGCACTTTCCTCTTTCACATACACCACTCGGCTGGCTGACGTTTTCAAGGAGATAAAAACCACCCTTTTTGCAAAACCCACCAAATTTCACAATCGATTATCAAGAACCCAAATGTTTTTTGTTTACAATCTATTGTAAAGCTTTTTGTTGTGTGTGCATCTCGTTCTTGATTTCAATTTCTAGTTTTGCCCTCTTAATATGGACGTCTTACCTGCAAAATCTCTTCCGGTTGGCTACCGATTTCGTCCGACCGACGAAGAGCTGGTGAATCATTACTTAAGGTTGAAGATCAACGGTTTTGATAAAGAAGTGAGTTGTATTCGAGAAGTCGATGTCTGCAAGAAAGAGCCCTGGGACTTACCTGGTATCATCTTCTCTCGATTCTTTATCCCTTTTTCAAAATTCGAAGATGCGGAATCTAAATATTTTAGGGATAATCTAACCGTGTCTTTTTTTTGGCTAGATTTGTCGGTGATTGAGTCCATCGATAACGAATGGTTCTTCTTTTGCCCTAAAGATCGAAAGTATCAAAACGGCCAGCGATCAAATCGTGCTACGGTGTCTGGTTACTGGAAAGCTACCGGAAAAGATCGAACGATCAAGACTAACAGAGGGAGTAGCGTGATTGGAAAGAAGAAGACGCTTGTTTTCTATACTGGTAGGGCTCCAAAAGGCGAGAGGACTCATTGGGTGATCCACGAGTATTGTGCTACCGAAAAGGAACTCGATGGAACACATCCTGGACAGGTAATCGTTCTAGAAATCTGAATTCTTGATTCTTAAACATATTTGTATCTATCTATAACAGCTGTAACAATCAATTGGGAGTTTATAATGATTTATGTTCATCCAGAGTCCATATGTGCTTTGTCGTTTATTCAAGAAACACGATGGGAAGGACGAAAATGCTGAAAGTTTAGACTGTGTTGATGTTGATCAAAGCGATGCTTCTCCTCCTTCCGTTGTAAAATCATCTACTGAAGATCCTCAATCAGAGCCCGTAACCCCAAATTTGACTGGTCAACCAAACATTCAACCTTTACTCAAAGAAAATCTCAAACTTGAAGAACTCAATAGAACAAACGACCCTTTGGACTTTCTCGATCATTCACAATTAATGGTACATTTCCATTTTCTCTTTTTGGGTCTTTCTTTTACTTTTCTACATACCCTTTTGTTGGTTTTTATAACATTCTAAATTTCTATTTAACAGAACGATCTTGACCTTGATGAAGCTCTACAAGGTTTCTGGGATGCATCACCTGATCATTTCGAATCAAAAATCTTCTCCCCTTTGCATTCCCAGATGCATTTAGAGTTCGGATCCGCTTACAACTACGGAATGGTCAACTCCGGAACCGGAAACGAACAGACAACTGGAATGGAATTCTCAAACAGTTTCCTAAATGATTTTCACCCATACAGCAGCGAATCAGATGGTGAAGTCATTCAAGTTCAGGTACATATAGAAAGAATACTTTCAACTTTCAAATGATGAAAACACATAATTTAAAACATTCAACTTTATCTCATTCATATTGTATGATTTGTATCATGTAGCCTATGAAACTTGAAAAGGTGAGCGATGAAAATGTTATCTTTCATCTTCCTCATGAACAAGCACCAAAGGAAGAATCTTGCAGTAGTAGCAGTAGCAACATTGCATTGGCATCCAATGGGGAGGGCAATTTGGGAACAGGAATTATAATAAGGAATCGCCAGCCAAAGGTTGCTAATGGCATAAACTTTAGTAACCAAGGAACTGCACCAAGAAGAATCCGATTGCAGATGAAACTACAAGTAGGGTCAGTTACCCATGGTGGTGATGATCAGCAGCCTATTGTGACTGAGGTGGGTTTTTCACTTTTTGTTATTGATTTCCCTTTTTTGCCACTGAAAAAGGAAAGCTTTATCTTACATTTGTTGATTTGAAATCCAGGAAAAGAAGCATAACCCAGGTGGTAGTGATGGTGAATATGATGAATCTTTGATGTCAAATTCAAATGTGAAGCCAAAAGCTGATTTTTCTCATGGCATGCTAAGTTGGGTGTATATGCATAAGGTGCTTGTGGTTGTAGGGTTGTGTGTAGGGATTGCTAGTTTATGGAAATGTTTGACTTCTTGAGGGGGGATAGATAGGTGAGTGGTTTTATTGTGGATGAGTAGTAGAAACTGATGACTTAAATATATATATATATATATATATATATATATATATATATAATATATATATATATATATATATATATATATATATATATATATATATATATATATATATATATATATATATATTATGTTTATATGACCTATCTATATCTTTTGTTTTTTACCCTAGTTTGGTAAAGTTTTAGACGTATGTATTATCCAGTTGTATGATATTTTTTTCCTGGATTTGGATGATGTATTGATGGTTTAAGTTTTTGGTAATCATAATCAATGAATTACTAGTATCTAGAATACTAGTCGATTCTTTTAAATATCTCTAATAGGTTTCTTGTAATCATTGGCACACAAAACTAATTCATTTTTATAAAGTTATAAACGTTATTTCAAATTTGTCTAAACCAAAAAAAGATAAATCAAACCGAAATAAAATTACATTTTGGGATGTTAAAATAATTATCTGTTAAATAAAATCTGAAAATGATAATTTTTAATGGGTTATTTGGTTGTCTGAATTTGAGAACTATTCACTAAACAAAAACCAAATAAGGTTATTTTTATTCAGTTCGCTTGGGTTATCCGTTTTCAGTTTTTATGACAATTCTACATGCGATGATTCTTGAAACAGAGGAGTGTGGTGGTTTGACGGTGGTTCCGGTGGTGGTTGCTACTTGCCAGAACATATAAAGGATAATATAGTCATAATAAAATAATGAAAAAAGGAATAAAAACTGGCAAAAACATATAAAGGATAATATAGTCATTTCAAGTTTGACAAACATCAAATTCACAACCAAACTAGTTGAAAAGGATGAAACCTGCAAGTTTGAAACTAAAGCAAACAGCAAACCCAAGGGAGCATTTTTGCAATTTTCTGAAAATATAATCAAATTAGTAAAAGATCCACCTTCTGATTAAGTCTTTGCGTTAGAACAAATCTACACGATTATATACATAATCTTGTTCACATTAAGCTACAAAATCATCGCTATATTAATATTATCCTTTAGATTTATTCTAGTGCATGCGTTCAATCTGCTATGGTTAAAATGGTATGAACAGTTAACTGCTTTCTTGGATTTAGTGCAAAAAGTCAACCTCCATGAACGTCTACTACTACTAACTCTCAACCTCTGCCATTTTCAAAAATACATGGACCCCTAAACACTTATATGTTTTAGATTCTTAAATCAAAGACCATGTCTAACCTTGCTGATGCCTTCTTGCATGCCACTAAACAAATATTTATATAACACACATCTTGCATTATAAATAAGTTGAAGTTTCATCATCTTCCAAAACAAAACAAAATGAGTTGCATACGATTTGCAATTCTAATTTTGGTTTTATTGCAATCCATCCTTCACTCAGAAGCCCAGCTTTATGTTGGATTCTATTCGGGGACATGTTCAGCAGCCGAGTTCATTGTTAAAGAGGAGGTCGCTAAAGCATACTCCCAAGACAGAGGTCTTGCTGCTGGTCTAGTCAGACTCCATTTTCATGATTGTTTTGTCAGGGTAAAGACCAATCATACATGTTGCTTATATTATCTGTTATCTGTGATTTACCTCTCACATGATGATCTTGGAACTATCGGTAATATATATTTTACCATTTTTTTTTAATTTGTTAACATGGGATCGTGTTTGGTGCCTCACAGGGTTGTGATGCATCGGTCCTCATAGATTCGACTCCTTCAAACAAGGCAGAAAAAGATTCACCAGCAAACAACCCAAGTCTCCGTGGATTCAATGTCATTGATAATGCAAAAGCTAGACTTGAATCACTATGTCCACGGGTCGTTTCTTGTGCTGATATAATCGCGTTTGCAGCTCGAGACAGTTTTGAGATAGTAAGAAAAAAAAAATTCTTATTTATGGGAATGACTTAATGGGTTAAGCAAATAAAACATGGCTTAATGTATTAAGACATCAATCGTTTTTACTTAACGAGCTTAATGAGTTGAACACAATCTAGACAACTCTACATGGTTGTTTCATTTTTGGACAACTCTATATGGACAGAATGACTTAATGGGTCAAGCCAAACATAGCTTGATGCATTAAAACAATCAATCATTGGCCTATTTGCCTTTTTTTTTTCATCCAAACTCACGTCACAATAAAATGATGAAAATTGTTAAAATTGATGAGTATGTTAAAAGGTTTGTTGGAATATAAAGGTAAAATGGTTATTTAGGGTACGTTTGACACAACTTTTGCGAGCTTTTGAGAGTTTTTAGTTTTTAAGAACAAAACTTTGATTGACAGAAAAAGCTTTTAGCTTTTATTTTAAACAAAGGACTTTCAATCTAAAAGATATTTCAAGTAGCTTTTTGGAGCTTTTAACTTTTGATTTTTATTATAAAGTTTGCAGCAAAAACTTTTAGCTTTTATTTTAAACAAAAAAAACTTATAACCCAAAAACTACTTCAAGTTTTTTGCTTTTTTTGTTTTTATCTAAATTTACATTTTTAAAAAGCTATCAGCTATTTTTATTGAGTATTTTCGTACAAAAACTATTAATCAAAAAGCAACTTCAAATAACATTTGGGAGCTTTTAGTTTTTAGTTTTATCAAACATTTTACACATCCAACTACCCTTACTACCAACTAATTTTACTAAACATACTTTTATGTATACAACACTATACACGACTCCATGCAAACATCATTACTCATTCAACAATTTAGATATTGTTGTAATTTCAGACAGGAGGACAAGGATATGATGTCCCAGCTGGGAGAAGAGATGGCAGAGTTTCACTAATAGCAGACACAAAAGCATTACCACCTGCAACTGCTAATCTCAACCAACTCACTCAGATGTTCTCGACCCATGGATTGACCCAAGAAGAAATGGTTACGTTATCCGGTAAGCAACATTCGATTTTTTTTTCAATTTTCGATACCATCTCTCTATCATTGGATGAAAGTATTATTGTTTGCATCCTACCTCCTTTGATCCCACGACCTTATGAGATTTTGGGTATATTTTTTACTATAGGTGCACACACTATCGGTCGATCACATTGTACTTCATTTGCTAATAGATTGTACAACTTCAGTCAATCGATCAACCAAGACCCGGGTTTGAACACATTGTATGCTAGCAAACTAAAGCGAGAATGTCCAAAAGGAAATAACAATGCGAATTTGGTAGTACCAATGAACCCTAATTCACCAACCATAAGTGACACAGGATATTATGTTGATGTTTTGAATAAAAGGGGTTTGTTTACATCAGATCAATCTCTACTCACGAGCACAAATACAACAAAACAAGTACATCAGAATGCCATGAACCCGGTTCTTTGGAAGAGTGAGTTTGCAAAAGCAATGGTGAAGATGGGTGGGATTGGTGTTATGACAGGTCATAAAGGAGAAATTCGATTAAATTGTCGAGTTATCAATAAATAATGAGGTCAAAAAAATGCCAATTAGGCTCAATTTCAGTGTGTTAATATGTAAATTAGTTTGCAGAATCTCTTTTTCTTATACTAATAAAAGAATACTTTTAATCTCCTTTTGATATATGTCACTCAAATATAACTCATAATATTATGTCACATGTCATAGAGATATATTAGGTAAATCAATATCATAGGTAATGATGTTAAAGATTTAAATAATAGCTTTTAAAGTTTTTATAGAGACATTTACTTTTTGTAATTATTTGTTAAATTTAAAGTTATAACTAACTTTAAAATTTTGGTATATTTCTTAATTAATAATTTATTTGAAATAATTTATTTAAAATAATTGATTAATAGTTATAAAGTTTTACTATAAAGATATTATTAATTTGGTTTCACGGTTTATAAACTAGTAATCAAATAACAGTTATATCATACTCATTAAGGGATAATAATTACCAATAGCATACATTGACGACCAATTGCACAATTGATGTCTTGCAAAATTTCAAAAACAAAAAAAAAATGAAATCACATTTAACAAACAAAAATTGCAAAATTTCAAAAACAAAAAAAATGAAATCACTTTTAATAAACAAAAAAGCTACAAAAAGAAAAGTTTAAAAATGCAACATTCCAAAAGAATGTGAATTCACTTTTTAGCGAAAAAATTGGCAAAAGCTACAAAAGTTATTTTAAAAAGTTGCCTATATTCAAAAAGTATTACTCCTAGCAAAAAAGTATCACTGCAATTCCAAAAAATTACAATATTGTTGGCTTGTTGCTATTATATATATATATATATATATATATATATATATATATATATATATATATATATATATATATATATATATATATATATATATATCTTAAAAATCATAATAATGCATAAAAAAAATACTTAGAATCATAAATCTTTTTTTTTTGACTTTATATTTTTTAAAACCGCATCTATAGATTCGTTGATTTTTTTTTTGAAAAAAGAAACAAAAAAATAAATAAATAATAAAAATAAATAAAAATAAAAAGTCGATTTTTTAATTTTTTTTAGGGAATTTATAAAAAAAACTGCGATTTTTAAGAAAATATAGTCATTTTTTTTGTTGTGATTTCTAAGTACTTTTTTATGTATTTTTATGATTTTTAGGGTTTATTTGTTTTTTATATAACCCTTCCCTCTATATATATATATATATATATATATATATATATATATATATATATATATATATATATATATATATATATATATATATATATATATATATATATATATATATCCAGAGAGCAACTCTTCTCAAAATCTCACTCAAAAGTTGCTGAGTTGGATTCCCATTCTAACTAAGGATTCTTGTGGTTCCGGAGGATCCAATTACAGGAAACCAGGAACGGAGAGCTTTCCCCCCTTTTCCGCCGACTCTTTGGCCTTAAGAACGCTAGTTTTAAGAATGAGTGATTGCCCTTCTCCTACCCTTACTGCCCAACCTAAAAGCGGACAGCTAATGCGTTCCACTTATTAAACAAGGTTCTATGGTCGGTCCGTGACCCCTGGATGTCGAAGGCGTCCTTGGGGTAATCTCGTAGTTCCTAGGGGGTAGAGATGATGGGGCTGGTCCATGGATTTTCCTTCCTTTTGGTGCATTTCGCTCAAAGGGTTGAAGGGAGATAGTGCATCAAGCTGTTCGCAAGGGTTAATTTGATCATCTTCCCCAGGGATCTCGATAAGGGAAACCTAGGAGTGTCGCCGACTCTACTACCATCGATGTACGATCCATACTAGATCTGACCAACTGCCCATCCTACCCCCTCTATGTTCTTGACAAGTCATCTTTGTCTCAGTAGAGTCTTTTAGTAGCATGTTTCGGTCATCTTCCCCATTAATTAGAAAAAGTGTGTAACGCTCCGTTTATTTAAATAAATTAAGAAA